CGCCGCCGCCGCTCGTGCCGGGCGCGAGCCGGCGTCCTGTGCGCCCTGGCTCCGACATCGGGGCGCGGCTGGACGAGCTGGCGGGCGCCGCAGGTGAGTGGCCGTCGTCTGGGAAGCTGCCGACGATTGGGGAGCTGGATGCAGTTTTCCTTGGCGAGGAGCGGGGCGAGCTGTGCATGGCGGACGCGGCTCGGCCGCCTGTCCCTGCGCCTGTCATCGGTGAGTCCCTCTTCGGAGGCGTGGACCCGTCATCGCCTACGGGGCGGACATGAGCGCAGTCGGGCGGCCTGGCCGAGTCGAGCGATCTGCAGGTGGAGTCAACCGATATCGAGCCCGACGAGGGCATCAAATTGGATGTGAAGCAGGAGCCCAATGCCAGTATCTGTGTGCAGCGGGGGTAGCGGCAGCACGTCCTGTTGCCAAGCTCGGTGCGCCCCACGGATATGCAGGAGGCGAAGCTGGAGCCCAACGTGATGCTCGAGGCGCAGCTGGAGGCCAGGCGTGAGCCGCCGCGGCAGAGCAGGTGGTGGGCTGCCCGAGCCACCATCGCTCGCGAGTGGCTCCAGGAGGCCCCCGTGCAGGTCGGCGCGATATCGGAGGAGACCGAGCTGGACGAGTCGGACGTCGACGGCGTGGAGGGGATAGACGACTGCAGTCTCCCCGATGAGGTGTTCTGGGACGGGGCGGGTGCTGCTTGGCCGCCTTGCCCAACGCCTGGTGTCGGTGCGTCCCTCTACGGAGGCGTGGACCCGACCGCGGGCGATCTCGGCCCTGAGGCGAGCTTGGAAGCCCTTCTCGGCGCTGCTGGTGAGAAGGCTGCCGCCGCCAAGGCGGCGCAGCTCTGCAAGGCGCCAGTCTGCCTCGCGGAGGCGGAGCTGCAGCGGCTTCGCGAGAGCGGCGATTCCTCCCTCGGCGCCGAGCGGGAGGCCGCCGACGCCGCCGTCGACCAGGCCAGGATGTATCATCGGGAGTTGGCGGCGCGCAAAAGGGGGTCGGGGAGGGGGGAAGGCTTCTTAGAAGCACCCTGCTTCTTAGAAGGCCTCGGCCTTACGTCTATAGAGAAGGCCCGCGCCTTCTAAGAAGCAGGGGTGCTTCGAAGAAGCCTTCCCCCCTCCCCCTACCCCCCTCTGCGCGCCGTCAAGGGAGGCCGAGGAGAGGCTCTCGCAGGTGCCAGGCCCGCTCGCGCGAGGCACTGCGGCGGCAGGCGGCGGCTGCTCAGCGCCGCTGCCTCCGACCACGGCGTGAAGCAGGGGGGGGGGGAGGCCGTGGACCAGCTCCACGTGCGCGGAGCCCGCCTGTGCGACATGGCCTGAGTTTTGTTTTACTCCTCCCCAACGAACCCAGCACCCGATGCCCGTCCAGGGGCCAGACAATTTCGATTGGGCGTCAGATCCGCTTCCCCTCAATGGGGGCTATAGCCGCACCAGCATGTGACTCGCTCGCGGCAGGGCTGAGTGTTGGCGGCGCGGTGGCGAGTGCTCTGCATGTGCACGCGCGCCCTGTGCGCGCTGGAAGAGTTGTTTCAATGTCCCCACCGTGCATCTGTTGGCCAGCGTGGACCCCAACCAGTGATCCCTTGCAGGTCTGGGCGGTGCAGTCCAGGTGGTGCAGTCGACGTGGTGCAAGCTGGGTGGTGCCATCCATGCGGTGCAAATAACACGGTGCGGAACACTGCAGAGCAATGCCAAGCAATGCACACCAGTGCAAATCCAGGCAAAACAAAACAAAGCAAAGCAAAGCAAGGCGATGAAACGCAAAGGAATGCAACGCAATGCAAAGCAATGCAACACAATGTAAAACAGCGCAGCACAACGCAAATAAAGGACAACAAATCAACAATCAGCGACATGCTATGCAACGTAACGCACAGCCATGCAACGTAACGAACAAAAGTGAAAAACAATGCAGAGTAATGCAAAGCAACGTAAAGCAATACCAAGCAATAGAAAACAAACTCAATCAATGCCAAGCAATGCGAAGCAATACCAAGCAATGCCATGCAATGCAAAGCACAGCCATGCAAAGCGATGCAAACCAGTTCATCGCAATGCCAAACAAAGCAAAGCTTTGCAAGTCAATGCAGAGTAATACACCGCACAAAATAGCAACGCAACGTAATACATATCAATGTAAAGCAGTGCCATGCAGTCAAATTTCAAACCAGTGCAATTACAATGCCATGGCGCAAAGCAATGCAAAGCAATGCAAAGCAATGCAAAGCAATGAAGAGCAATGCAAAGCAATGAACAGCAACGTAGAGATGAAAGCATTGCAAATCAGGACAAATCAGTGCGATGCAACGCAAGAACACATGGTGAGCCCATGTAAGGCAATGCAACGTAGCGCAAAGCAATGAGCAGTAACGCAAAGCAATGTAATGCAATGCAGAGCAATGCAAACCAGTGAAAATCAACGCAGAGATGAAAGCAATGCACAGCAATGCAAATCAATGCAAATTAGCGCAATGCAGCGCAAAGTGATCAATGCACAGCAATGCAAAGCAATGCGGCGTCGAGGCGGCGGGCGGCGACGACGCGACGACGGGGCGGCGACGGCGGCCACACGGCGGCCGGACCGGCACCCAGACTCAGACGACGGGCGGCGACGGCGCGGCGACGGGGCGGTGACGGCAACCACAAGGCAGCGAACCCGACGCGCAGTCCCAGACGACGGGCGGCGATGAGGCGGCGACGGGGCGGCGACGGCGACCACATAGACGCCAGACCGACGCGCAAGCCCAGTTCCTCTGAAAACAACAATAAGAATGCCTAGGTACAAGCACTGCTTGGGAATATAAAGACATCGATCGAAAAAGAAAGAGAGAGGGAAAACAAACAAACAGAGAGCAACCGTGAGGGAGAGAGAGAGAGAGACAGAGAGAGACATATGACACACATATATACACATAGAGAGGGAAAGGGAGAAAGAGAGAGAGAGAGAGAACAAAACAAAAGCAAGAGAAAACATATATATACACATATATATATATAGAGAGAGAGAGAACAAACAAGGAAACACAACTGGATTCATACACGTGTACGTGGAGAAAGCAGGAGAGAAAAAGAGAGGGAGAAGGAAGAGAGACAGAGAGAGAGGGGAGGGAGCGCGGGAGGGAGAATACGGCAGGTTCATGTCGCGTGCACGTCGGCGTTGGCTTCTGGCACTTCGTGGAACGCTCAACTTAGACCGATCGCCGTTCCCCGACGGCGCAGATAGCTCGATGTCGCGTGATTCCAAGCCGCAGGCGGCGTTCGGCCCCGAACGCGCGCGCTGGGGCCGCCCTCCGCGACGACGCGGCGCGAGCCTGCCGTACGGCAAGCTCACACCACGATCGCGTGGGCGCTGGTTGCTCTCGTGGCTCCGGGCGGGCGAGAAGGGGTGGGGCATAGCCAAGGGAACGTCATCGGCACGGCCGAAGGCGCACGGACAGATTTATCCGATGCCCACCAAGATTTGTGGTCCAATATCAACAGCGGCCGCTTGTGGGCAGGCGACCTTTTTGATACACACGGAGAACGTCCGCGACAACACCGACACCGAATCTGGCTCAACATGATCAGGTCCTGGTTTGGGCTTTCGTCCCCATTCTCTCCCGCGCCTCCCGGCACTGAACGCGCCAATGCATCGAGACAAACACCCCCTGGCGACGGGGGCCGAAGCCAGCTTTACGCAGCAGATGTCAAACCTCCCTTTCCCAATCCCTCCTATCGTCCGACCCGAGCATCGTGACCGTTCAATCTGGAACGATCATCGCTCTCCGACACCGGACATGGGAGATGGAGCTCTCGATTATTCTTATCCATCCCCTCCGGGCAGCGGTGAGGTCGAGCGGACATGAAGGAGAAGATAGAGGAGGGAGGAGAAGGCGGAGAACAGAGCGCGCGTTGCTTGTACTTTTTGGGAGCTGTTTCGACCTCTGGAGGCCTCCTGTTCCTTGTCCTCCTTCCCCGTCTCCCCCCCTCGTTCCTGCAGTACCGGGGTGGAGCGGACAGGAATGAGGAGGGAGGAAGGGGGAAGGTATCGCTTCGGATGCCCACGGGGTGGGGGGCCAGTGAGGCGATGAAGGAGGAAGAAATTGAGGAGGCAGGCTACATGAGGGAGGTCTGGAATCAGCATGCTTGAACGTTTTGGGTCCTCTTTGTGCCTCAGCAAGCCTCCGAGTCTTCGTCCTCCTTCCCCGTCTCCTCCTCCCCCTCCTCTTCCTCCTTTTCCTCCCCGGGAAAAGGACGATGATAGAGGAGGGTGGAAGGGATAGGGAAGAGGTGGGCAGGCCGCAGAAGGGTCGCGGACAGAATATGCAGGAGAGAGAGAGAGAGGGGACAACAGCGCGAGAAGAGACTGGCGAAGAAAAGGAGGGAGGAGGGATCAAGAAGTAAAGGAGGGTGGATTGCGGAGGAGGGGAGGGGGGAAGGGAAGACGGAGAAGGGCGGAGTGGAAGAAAGGGGAGCAGGAGGAGGGGAAGAAAGCAGAGGGGGAATGTATACTTGTGCCAGCTGCTGCTGGATCGCATGCACTTCGCGGCATGTGCGTGACATCCTCGTGCAAAATCCATATTGCATCTCATCTCTACATGCCCACTGGTGGCAAGATGCCTGAGGATGGAAGAAGCAGAACGAGAAGCATCTGAGAGCAGCAGGAGATTGACGAGGGGCGGGGCCGTCGGGGAGCGGATAATGATAGTGAGAGGCAGGAAGAGAAGAAGCAGCGAGGCGAGGGAGGGGGGTAAAGGATCGAGGACGTGGAGGAGCCAAATAACGAACAGGCCGAGAGGGCGGAAGAAGAGCAGGAAAAAAGTGTTGAGGACGAGGATAAGCAGCAAAAGGAAGAAGAACGATGATGAAGATGAGGACCAGGACGAAGATGACGAGGATGAGGACGAGGACGAGGATGAGGAGGAAGAGGCAGGCCGAGTACCTAGGTCGAAGAGGAAATTCTGAACAAGCAGAGGTCACTGGAGGACTCCGGAGGTCCCCATGCGATGCCCCTGGGAGTCCTCCGATCTACACCTCCCAAAAGCCGATAGCCTCTGAATGGGGCACGTTCCGGCGTCGATGCCGAGGCAGATCCAGCCGTGGTGACGAGAGCCACCCTGGGAGGCAGAAGACGTGCAGAGGACGTGACAATCTTTTTCATCCCGAGCGTCCGACCCTCCACAAGGGGGAAGTAGCTGTTGAGCCCAGTCCAGAGAAACCAATCCTCGGGGGTCAGAGGCCTGGCCAACCTCCCTCTGCCGACGGCACCGTCCAGCCAAGCAGGCGCTGGAGCACCCCTCGGCGCGCACGCGGGCCCGCAGCAAGGCCAAGGAAGACACGCAACGTGCGCCGAGGACGTGACACTCGCCAACTCAGCTGCCAGTGTGTTTGCCGTCGACCCCCGCAGGTCCCCCCGAGGGAGACGTCGGACGTGTGGGTCCTTTGCCGAGCTGCCAGAGACCACCGGAGGCCTCGGGGGACCTCAGGGGGGCCTCCCGGGCGTCAGCAAAACTTGCCAGCCTCGGCCCCCAACTTCCACCCCTCTTGGACGCCCCGAAGGATCCGGGATAGCTGCTGTCGGGGCAACTCTGAGGTGGGCCCCCGAAGCGCGACCCTGTAGTTACCCCTGACTGATTCGGGAGGGTTGGACCCCCGAACCATCCGGGATCAGTACCCAAGGTCCGGGGCAACTCCGGCTTGGGCCCCAGAGGCGGAAATCTATAGCTATCCCTGACCGCCCCCGGCCCTCATGATTCGAGGCTCTGACCCTCCGCCTCCTTCAGGAGAAAAGCAGCTCATCAGAAGCATGAGATCTCAGAGGTCCACGCCAGGGGCGGCGCTGCAGGCGCCGCCAGGGCCTGTGCAGATCCAGGACCTCCGCGCGGACCTCCGAACATTCATGGTTTTATGCCACTCTTCTGGCTCGAACTCTTGACGCAGATCGCCGCTCTTCTGGAGAAGCGGCGCTGCCACGCGTGAGCCGCGCCCCCCTCCTCGAAAGCCGCCCTGGCGCTGCGGTTCCTGGACTGGCCGTGCAGGACCGACCTCGGCAAGGGCACGCCAGCGAAAAAACGCCGCTGAGCGCACTGCCGAGACCCGTCTGCGAGGCAAGATCAATCTCCAAATATGCTCGCGGCACGACGGAATTCTGTTGCCGCTCTCGGTCTCCAAAGGCCATCACCGGGCCTGGGGGTACCGTCAAAAAACGACTCGGGGTGAAACGCCGGCCGGCCCTGGGAAGAGGGTCGGGACTTCTGGGGACCGCGTCATGAAAAATCAAGACATTCGCATGTCTGGGGCAACATCGAATCAGGAAATCGGATCGACTCAGAGTGTGCATCGAATCAGGCTGCGTCCGCACAGGAGCCTAGATCGGATCGCATCGGCCGCGCCAGAATGAACAGCAATGCCACCAAACATCGGGCCGCATCGGATCACCAGAATATCGGGATCGGATCAGATCACGCCGGCGGGCATCGACATCGATATCGAATCGTAGATGAGTTCGAACTTAACCCTGTGTGAGGCGAGTACACATGAACACACACTAGGGTTCCATCTCAGATAAGGGTTCAAACCCGGAACTTCTGCCACCTCTTCACCAAGCTGCACCACACAATAAGATCATGCGGCATCTAGCATACATAACACGTCTTTGCCGTAATTTCGCGCTCATCAAGCCTCGAGTGCAGGCCACGGCAACGCCACATCAACGCATTGGCATGGTCAATATCCGGTGGTGGTCGTCATACAGGGAACCCAATGCACCATTGGCTCATGAGGCGTCACAGATGACAACGTTGACCCCCTGTGGATATCGAAATCTGTAATTGCACTTTCACGTGCGACGAATGCATCTGCATATCTACCTCGGTAATGGGATCCTCCCGCTCTCCCCATCTCCCTCTTCCGCATCCTCCGCGATGCTTCAACACAGGTCCTCCTCATTGCCTCCGCCCTCCGCAGGGGTCCGCTGAGCTCTGAAGGTGGGGCGAAGGACCCCTCGTGGACCCCTGGGAGCCGCAGCTACACTTCACAGGTGCCCAGTTGGACTACGCGTAGGAGTGACCCTCGGCTGGAGTGACCTCTGGTGCGCGGCTTCAGGGGCGCCCGCGGGGCCACTCTTCCGTGTAGTCGACCAGTGCAGCCGCACTGCTTGCTCAGAGGCCCCCCTCGCTCCCCCGTCGCGCCCATGCTCCGGAGCTCGCTTTCGAAAGTGGCTCCCGGTTCCTCGAGAGTGGGGCCCGGGGCCCCTCCACAGGCCGAGGCATCGGGACACGCCTCGGGGCGCCCGTCGGCCGCCTATTGGGGCTCCTCTCGGCGCCCCGGAGCCCCACCGCGCGGGTCCCCGAGCACGTCGTCGGCGGAGTGGGAACCGTCGCTGCGTGGTTGTCGGCGCCTGCTTTGAAGGGTTCGTGAGGGTGTCCCCTGGGATTCTGAGGGGCTGCATCGAACACTTGGGAAGCCTGTCGGGGACGATGCCTGTGCTGAGCTATCCTGGAGCGTCTCAGCGCAGTCATCTTGGGGCTCCTCGGTGGAGTCTTGAACCCATCCCCCTGCCGACAGACCCAGAGTGTTAGATTTGATGGCCGAGGCCAGCGCCAACACCCAAAGCACTGACACCATGCAGTGTGTTGGGTGCAACATATGGGGTGGAATCAATCACTTGCTCAACTTGAAGCCGTCCTCTCCACTGCCCGTGCAAACATCCCACCCTCCCACCCGCAACTTGGTCGCAAGACCTCTTAAGACCGTGACGGTGGGTACCAAATGGCACTTGGCAACGACACCGACGCCGACGACGACAGCGACAACGACGACGACAGCACCGCCGACAACGACTACGACGACACCGACGACGTCTCCAACGACTTCGACGACGACGAAAACGACGACGACGACAACACCGACGACGACGACGATTCGGACGCCGACGCTGACGACGACGACGACGACGATGACAACGCCGACGACGACGACGCCGCCGCCGACGACGACGACGACGCCGACGACGACGCCGACGACGGCGACGACGAAGACAACGACGACGACATCACTAACGAAGACCACGACGACGACGACGACGACGACGACGACGAGGGAGGAGGGAGTACGACGACGGCGACGACAACGACGAGGGAGGAGGCAAGACGACGACGACGACGACGACGACGACGACGACGACGACGACGACGACGACGGCGACGAAATAGGAGGGACAACGACGAAACGCCGACGAAGACGACGAGGGAGGAAAGACGACCACGGCGACAACGACGACGGAAACGACGACGACGCCAAGACGACGACGACGAGGAAAGACAGAGGACGACGACGGCGACGACGACGACGAGGGAGGAGGGAGGACGGCGACGACGACGACGACGACGACGACGACGCAAGAGCGCGCGCGCACGCTTTTGTTGAACATCCGTGTTGCGAAATCTTGTGTTTTTGTATGTTTTTTAACCCTTCCAGAACAGACGGTCTTTGAAGGATTTCGGCATGCGCGCGCGACGACGCGCGCGTCTGCATTTTTTGCAGAGGATTCTCGCGACGGCACGCGCGCAAGGGCGTTCGAAAGATTTCGACATGCGCGCGCGAAGCCCGTTTGGTAGCATTTTTTGAGAACATTGGAACACCCATGGTTTACTTAAGATTTCGCAAGAGCGCGCGCGTAAGCTTTCTTAGAACATCAGTGTTGCGACACCATGTCTTCTTGTATGTGTTTCGAAACTTGATTTCAAAATTCCTCCGAAACCGAAGGTTCGTGAAGGATTTCGGCATGCGCGCGCGTGTGTGCACTTCGTCCATTTTGTTGCAAGGGATTCTTGAAGACTTATGATTTTTGATGAACGAGAGTGCGCGCATAGTATTTTTGCAGAGGATGGCGGGGGGAGTGATAACGGTTTGGCTCGGATAGTATGGTTGAATATTTAGAATGGACGAGTGTGTAAGATAAATCTAAAATCACAATGCCCCAGGGGAGATCGTTAACTCTGGGGGGGTAGAGCCTATTCTTCTTTTAGAAAGGAGAATCTGCTGGGGGGGTTTAATTATGGAAGCGTTTCAGCCGTCATCTCCAGCGCTTAAGCAAAAATCCCTCTCGACCACCCGCAACGGGTTGGCAAACTCTGCCGCTGATGATGCTAGTGCCGCTGATGACGAAGGCGACGACAACGATGATGACGATGATGACCGTGACGGTGGTGGTGGTGGTGAAGACGACGATAGTGATGGTGATGCAGAAGATGACTTGTTGATCAGATGATTTGTTGTTCCTCTACACGGGCCCCCTCGCGCGCTGTAGCCAGACATGTGATCCAGTAACTCACCTGTTCAGAAATCTGGGCCAACTTCCCGGAAGTTTCTTAAGACAAGCCTGGGCCAGGTTCTGTTGCTAACGCTGGAGGGTGAACGAGCTCCAGAATCTGGGCCCAGTTCCTGGCAAAGTGGCCAAGGAACGCAGACCCAACCTTGCGGGAGGAGGCCTCTTGATCACATGCTCCACCGCCAGTCTTGCTCGGTGGACCGCTTGGTCGCCTCGCGCAGCAGCATCGTCAGGTAGGCCGAGGGCGGCAGGGTGCAACTAGAGGCGACGGCCGGCAAGGCGTCGCCCGTAGGCCCGCCGCCAGGTGGCGCCGCCGCCGCCGAGGGAGCCTTTGCGGGCTTCGCCTCGGCGGGCGGCCGCCCTTCGCCGGCGCTGCGGCCGCCGCGGCGCCGCCGCCCGCCTCCCACGAGGAGCGCCGGCCCAGCAGCCTGGCCACGTCGGACGTCAGCGGGCTGCCGTGCGGTTTGCCCTCCGCGGCGGGGACGAGCCGCCAGGACAGCCCAGCGGGCCTCACGGCCGCGCGCCGGTAGGAGCCGGTGGGCGGCACCGGTTCCGAGTCCGGGCGCGCCTGCAGCGGCAGGCCCAGCAGGCCCTGGCGGATCTCCTCGTAGGCGGCTCGCAGGCACGGCTGGCACTCCACCTGACGTCGCAAAGTTCAACCCCCGCGAGCTCCTCGATGCTC